AACAAGCCCAGCATGCAATCAGCACTAAATTATTTGCGTCGAAAAACTAATCGAAACTTCATATCAATTTTCATACCTACATCTCCATGGCGGGCCCAGACAATCGCAGTCGCCATGCATAACGAATTGCGTTGTGCGAATTTGTGCCAATTTGATAGACAGCCCGTGTTTGCGTTTCATAAACTGTTTGAATAGGTGCTTAACACACGTTCCATAAGCGGGCATTAAGTTACACCGATTGCTGAGCCGACCCTTGGCAGTGCATCATAGATAACTTTGGCATTATAGGGCTGGTTGATATAGAAAATTTCATAAAATTAATTAATGAACTAAACATAGAATTATAATGCATATAATGTAGGTATATGAAATATGCATATATAAAGAAGTAAATACAAATAAAATAGGAAAAATAAGTCTGCCTGAAGGTCTTTTGGTGTGCTGGCTTTAAGCTAAATTGTTATTTAGAATTAATGCTCTGAAACAATTAAATAAATAAATAAAAAAATAAATTTAAAAAAATAAAATAAATAAATACATAAATCAATAAATATAAGGCTGGGTTTAAAAGAATGTTCACAGAATTAAAATACTGTGTAAATAGGTCAAATATTAAATTCCCAATTAGTTATTTTTTAGAACAAATGCTCCTATTCTCTCTACTCTCTTTATCCCTCTCTCTCTTTCTCGCATTCTCCCTCTCTCTGTGTATCTTGTACTCTCTTTTTTTTAATTATCTCTTCGCTCCCTTTCTCGTTTTTTTCTCTCCTACGTTCGGGACTTTGGCTATCACAGAAATTTTATTTAAGATTTTCTAAATATCATATACTGAAAACTTAATAGAACTACCTGGAATCCATTTTCTCAAAAACATAAGTCCTTTTTCACTTTCCTACGAAAACTTCATGAAGTTCGTATACGTGAAATACACTCAGTCCAAGTCGATTCTTCCTCTTGCATACTGTTTTTGTTTAATTTGATTTCTTTTATTTATTATATATAAAATGAAGCTATACAAAAGATTCTGCACTACTGCCTGAGTGCCAGCTAAAGCCGTCTTGTTTGGATACGCTTTTAAGTGGATTTGTTCGGTAGTTGACGCTGCTGCAATCCCCTTGCATCTCTCATTTTCATTATGCCATTGTCTTTAACATTTACCGCTCTCTATTTTCATTCCCATTTCCACTTTCAAGGCGTATCTAAAACTTTTCCCGGCGGTAAAATAAAGTTACAATTTTTATAACGATTTCGGATTTTTTCGCTCTCTTTCTTTTTGTTTCTGCGCCTCGCCTTTATCCCCAATTCATCTGTTTTGCATATTTCTTTGTTATGCCTGTAGTATTA